GTATATTGTATAGTAGTATATATATATATATATATATATATATAGGGGAAGCGGATGTTTCAACATTCCTTTTATTCTTTTTCTTTTCTCCCTGCATCTCGTTTCAGCTGGTAAACGGCCTCGATAGACCAAGGTACGTTTGCGAGACCGAAGTCATGGAGGAGGTGAACGTGGCCACCGCCACCCCCGTCGAGTACACGCCTCCTGGGAACACGAATAAAAATGCGAATGGGAACATCATCACCCTCACCCTAAAAAACAACCATCTTATCGTAGAGACGGAGGAGCGAGCGGTAAGTACCTCGACGACACACAGCCGTTCTTTATCTGGAAGGAAATAATTTTCTACGCGTTCACCCTCTGCTCTCGTCATCTCGTGATCAGCAGCTCCTTTCCACGATCGAATCCATCCGAGCAAGTCCGATTTATGGACGAGCTTTAAAGGATTTCTTCGTCTCGAAATTAAATTTGCAATTTCGTTTCGATAATTGGTTGCTTCTCGCAAGAGATCTCGCGAGATTGGATCGATATTTCTCGATCTTTCGAAACCACGAGATTCGGCTGGCCCCCCCTGTTTGACAGGGATAACAGGCTCGCAATTATCGGGAACTATCCCTGTAAGGTCGAAGGTTACCAGCCAATTTCGCCTCTATCGTCGTCCTACTTACGGGCTCAGACTTATCCCCCGTGGAACCTCATCTCGTCGGGGATTTCTCTCCCTTCTCTCCCTTCTCCTTTCCCCGAATTTCATCGAGGCGACGAAATTTTTGCAAAATAATCCGGAACAGGAGGAGGAGGAGGAGGAGGAGATCGTGGATAACAGGTCGACCTGTTGCGATTTAACTGTTCGCTTCGAGAGAAAAGAAGAAATTCTCCTCGAGAAATTTCCCCTCGCCTTCCCCTCGAGCTCTGGGTCGCACCACCCTTCTTTCACCCTCGACACGAGTTTCACGGAGGACGAAGCAAGCGCACGCCCTATAACAAGGAAAGGGAGGATCTCCTGAACGCCGTTAATCAAGGGTTGGATAAATGAAACGAGTTGGTCGGATCTCGAGAGAGAAACGCACAGCTCGGTGCACAATGCTCGGTGTTTCCGCCACCGATTAAGCGGATATCCGGTGGAAAGAATGGGGGAGGATTATGTCCACGATGAACCGGGTGGAAACCAACGGTTTCCAATGGAAGAATCTCGAGTTTGGAAACAGTAAGCTGATCTGGTGTGGCGAACGAGTTTCGGGTTGAAACTGGGGAAATGTCTATTGTCGCGCAAGAATCGATACGATACCAAATAACGATATCGGTTTTGCCCTCGACAAAGGTAGTAAAAGAGGAGAAAAGAGAGAGAGAGAGAGAGAAGAAACGGTAGGCAACGAGCCGCCAGCAAACGAATCTGACGGGCTGCTCGTTGTCGGTTATTTCAACGACGACAAGCGTCTTAGCGCGCTTCCTCTTTAAAGGAATGCAAAAAGCGCGCGATCCGCTTTGTTCCGGATAAGGGGTGGATGCTCGGCATGCTTGGACGTAATACTTGGCTCGTGGCCAAGCTGCGGTGTTCACCCCACGGGTCGCGTGGAATACCCCTCGCAATTCGAGAAATACACTCTATCGAGGCTAAGTGTGTGCTTATTCTTCTTTTTCTTTTTTCTTCCGCAACGAAATGCGCCATCGTTCGTGAAAACGTCCGTTCAGCTCGTTCGTTCGCCTTCCCTTTCCCTGGTGGAGGAAAATCGATCCTACGGAAATATTTTTCCGTACTTCGAAACAAGTGTTTTTCAAACGAAAATCGTATTATTTTCACGTGTTCTTCTTTCTTTCGAACTTCCTCCAATCGCGTTCACTTTTTGAAGAATCCACCCGATATATATATATATATCGTTAATTTAAAATTCGACAAATTAAATGTCTCATAAAGATACTTTGCCGCACAGAAAGATGCAATTGCGTGAATTCGAGATACGATTTTTTCATGGGGGGGAGAATTTTCGATCAAAAACGTTTGACGTTCGATCTCGTTTGAGGAGGGAAATTTGGGTTATTAACTAGCGAACGATATATAAATAACGAGGCTAGAAGGGGCACGAACTACGCGTCATCCGTTTAGTGGAGCATCCGGGATCAGTAACGCGTGATCGGTAATCTCGCACCCTGTTATGCATCGATTAATTTATTACGATGGAAGATTAAATTCTCGTCCCCCCCCTCCGAGCAAACGTTTTCCCTTCGACGATGTAACAATATTTCTTTACGTGTCCCCTCCCCTTCCCCACAAATTTTCCTTCCTTTACCGATTTGCATTTCAATTTCGACCGACCCTCCTCCATCAGTTTTCTCCGAATAAACAGGAATTTCGTACGAGCTGTTACGTTTCGTCGATGGATCGTAAAGTTCAATGTTTAATAATCGGAAGGGGATTGAGGGCAAGGCCAGGGTTGTTCCGGGTCGAGGATTCTCGCCATGGAGGAATGGTTACACACAGTTACCCTCGACAGAGAGAGAGAATTGTAACCGTTTTCTACGAGTCTGGCTTTTCGACTCTATTTCGACCGAAATTTCGAGGCTTTTAAAGACACGCTCTCTCCTCGATCTCCTCCTCGAACATTCTTGACGGGTCTCTCTCCCTTCGGGACGGGTCCTTATGATTTCTCCTCTCTTATCACGCTATGTACGTCTCCTGTGGACGATTCTTTTTGTTGGATTCATCGTGCCGGATTTTCGGCACCGGCCTTCTCCACGGTTTGCCGAGGGGTCGCGGAAAAACTGTTGCTACGACGCCTTTGGGAGTCGGTTTCGACTTCGAGGAGAATCGAGAAATAGAAGCCACTTTGCTTCTTCTGCTCTCACTGTTCACCTCTGTCTGTTACTACTTGTCTTTGTCCCTTTCGAAACAAGGCCAAAAAAGCTGTGGCTATCGGCCCCCTTACCCTTCCTCCCTCTTTCCCTTCTTTTTTTTTTCTGCTCCAAACTCTCGACACAAGTTTCTCGACGAAGGTAGACGCCACAAACGATTCGTTGCTAAAAGGCTTTTTACCTCGCCACTTCACCTTTCGAATTAACCGTCTCGACGATCTAGGAGGGATCCAGGGTTGGAGTTGTAGAATTTAGGTTAGAAAACGCGTCGCTTTCTCCCGGTTTGGATTAGAATTCAGAATCGTTATGGGGACAATATGGATATCAACACGTCAGATTTTAAACCCCCATTTCGACGAGTGATACGCGCGAATACGCGTGAAACGAAGATGGAGCAGGAAAAGTTTGTCTGTTTGGGGATAGAGAAGTCGTTTTCTGAATCGAACGGACGATTTCTTCGATAAGAGACGTTTCAATCTCCTACAATTCCAAAATTAAGATTCTTCGCGATCAAACCCGTTATTAATTTGAAAAAACTGAAAAGTCGGGATACATTCAAAAAAATCTTCAAAACAAATTCTCAAGTCGACTTAATCGGATTCGAGAAGAAATCCTTCGCGCGATTGTTTTCGACGGTTGCTTCGAGCTTCCCTTTTCGACGTCACTGATATAATTCAGAACGATGCGGCGCGGGGAAACAAGGTGTGGAACAGGAGCGAGGCTGGAAACAATAGCGAGAACTAATTCTGCGGTCCGTCGACCTCGAGCAACTTGCGTCGCGGTCGAATTTATACACGGCCCGCGGCAACGGGTAAACTGGAAGCATCGGCCACGAAATTCATAGGGTGGAAATTAATTTGCCACGTCTCTCTCGAGGCGAGACACGCACCGAATCTGCTCGCCTTGTTCGCCGCGCGTGTTCAACCACGCCTGAGAACAGTAATAATTGTTCCTTCTTTCCCGAAGTATATATTCGCATAATTTCGATAATTTCGACGTGTATACGAACTCTCTTCGTTCCTTTCTTCGGCCCCCTTTGTTGTCGCCTCGAGTGGACCTGAGGAATCGAATTCGATTGGGTGGAAATTGATCTGGAATGCGTCTCACCTGGATGGGACAACGCAATCGTTTAAGACTTCGCTCCCTTCTTCCCCGCTTCTTCGCCTCGAAGGGTGAAAGAGCTGATGATGCATCGAGCTCGAGTAATTGCGGGGGGCGCTTTGAACCGTACAGCCTGATCACGTTGCACCGGTTGAAATGGCGGCAAAGGGTCGGGAGGTGAGATTGCGAAACGAGCCTCGCTAATGACACGATCGTTCGTCAAACGACCGGTCTTCTTTCGTAACCGATTCCACCGTCTCCCCCCCACCGCCTTGATTGATTAATACCTCCCCTCCTCGGCTTCGATACTCGCGCGTATCGTACTCGAAGTTTTCTTCTTTCGGTGTTTCCCCTTCTCTTTAATCCCTCTTTAATCTCTTGTTGCGAGTTTTCAGGTGACGATGGAGGATAATAAGAACCGCAGGTACCAGGACAACGGGTGCTCGTTCGTGGTTGAGGTGCAACCGAGCTATCAGGACGAGGCCAAGAAGGGATCAGGATCCACCGACGACGCCGATCAGCAAGCTCTGGTTCACAGGGAAGAGATCGCCGAGGATCGAAAATCGGGTACGTTTCGTTTCAATTCTCGTGATTCGAAGAAGGAAAGAAGGAAAGAATGGATCCGTTTTTTTTTTCGCGGCAGGTTTCGAAAACACGAGGCTGTTCGGGAGCACGAACACGGGATTGTCGCAGTCGGATCTCTCGATCTCGAGCCAAGGCTCGGTAAATCCCAGCTACCGTTACGGCAATCAAATGGAGTACGACGCCGGCCACCTTGGTTACCCTATGTACGGGGGTAGTTACGAGTCGGACACGTTGTCCCGGAAACTGGAGGGTGGCTCCAAGTGGGTGGAATTCGACAAGTCGCCCGACACCGAGAAGACGTTGCTCTCGAAAACGTCGAGCGTGGACGCAGCCAAGGATGGCAACGAGGAGAGCGTGAGTGACGATCCGAGGATTGGGCGGCGAGTATCGTTGGATACATGTCCTTCCTGATATTTCAGCCCTCGTTGGCCGGGAGACGGAACAACGTGGACGTTTCCCAGGGATCGGGCGGGTCGATGGACCAACAGGATTCGACCGACGCGAGCATCTCGACGGACACGGTCCGCTCGAATCCGAATCTCCAGGTGAACGGCGCCACCCCGACGAGCGAGGCGCAGCGGAGGGCGGCGAGCAACGACGAGGTCGGGAAGGGGGAGACTGCTAACAGGCCCGTGATAACGGGAGCGTTGCTCAAGGACGACGTGCTCCAGGAGGACACTTTTCAGGAGCAGCAGCGGAAATTGGGTAACGGGACGCTGACCCCCGAGCACAGGGACGAGGACAGGACGGCGAGGAATCAGAAGGTCGAGATGTTCGTGCCGAGTCACAAACGGAGCGGAAGCATCCGCCCCGATTGATCGAGGAAAGCCTGGAGTTGGACCTGGAGCCGAAGAAATCGTTGGACATTTACAGCCAGATCAAGACGAGCACGAAAAGCATACTTCCAGGATTGAGCCCCAAGTTCGAGCTCCTTCAGAACGAAGTCAGCCCCATCGAGGAGAAGGAGAGTTAATTAAGAGAGGGACGATCGCGATCGGTTTCGTTTGGGGGAGGGAGGGTTGTTGCTCGTTCGAGGATAGAGCGAACGCGATTCATTTTCTACTGAAAAATAATTCAAAAATTCTCCTCCTCGTCCCACCCAATCCGAGCCTGCCTATCCTCGTACACAGAGCGAAAATCAAAATTAAAAACGGCCGCTCTCTCTCTCTCTCTCTCTCTCTCTCAATGGAGAAAAGATGGATGCCCACCTCCCCTCTTCCTCCCCTGAACGATTTTTATTTGAAGAAAAAATTCCAAAAGAGAGAGAGAGAGAGAAAACAAGGAAGAGAAAAACGTTCATTGTAGATATCTCATCAACCTCGACAGATTTTTACCTGAGTAATCCTCTTTTAGGAGAGAGAGAGAGAGAGAGAGAGAGAGAGAAAAGAGTCTCTGTCTCGAGGTGGGAACCCCCCACGAGACACGAATTAAACCGAACTTAAACTTGAAAGTGGCTCGAAGAACTCTTCGAAGGGACGACTCGAGAATTAAAAGAAAAAGAAAGAAAGAAAGAAAGAAAGGAGAAGAGAAGAGAGGAGAAGAAGAAAGAAAAGAGAGGTGCCATAGTTCCCGCCCACTGATAAAAAAAAAAAAAAAAAAACCAGTGATGGATCGTGGGTGAAAGTTGACCAGGAAGTTGAAATTGATCGTAGCCGTAAAGGGGTTCGTGCGTTCGTAAACACTTGGAATCGACCGTGTATCCCCTAACGACTCTAATATCCCCTCCCTCCTCCCTCTCCCCGCTAAATTCGCCGAAGCGAGGACAGATCCGCTACGTTCAGAACAATGGTCGGCTAACGAACTCGACGCGCCGAACTCGAGTTCGATTCCTCCTCCTCTCTCTGTGTGCGCGCACGGGGAGGATCGAGTAGAGACGCGTCTCTCTCTCTCTCTCTCTCTCTCGAGGATCGAATCGAATCCTTCGCCGCGCGGGGGGGAAAAAAAAACGGGGGCGAACTGAGTTGACCAGGGGCGGAGGAGGGGAGGAGGAAGAAGAAAGGCGAAACCGTCCTGGGATGTTTCGATTTCCCTCCCCGTTTGTCCTCTCGAACGTTGCCTTGGAAGGGATTCTTCGAGCGCTTACCAACATCTTTGTACATCTATCTATCTATCTCGCGCCTCTCACGAGGGATATTGCGCGTATAATAACGAAATTTTGTAAATGAAATGGCGTCGAAGGAGGACCGAGGGGAATCGAAAGTTTTAAAAAAAAAAAAAAACGAATCAGAATTTGCTAAAGAAATTTTCTATCTATTATCGTCGCGGAAGAGGGAGAATAAACAAGTGCGAGAGATAATTAAGCGTCGTATGGATAATAAAAGTAAGAGGTTTCTCTCCCTCGAAGACGAGATCTTTTTATCTAGAGGAATAAGATTCAAAAATGATGGACACGGATGAATGGATCGTAAGAGAGAAAAAAGAAAAAGAAAAAAAATCATATATATATACATATATATATATATAGTTAATACTAAAACGTTAAACGCGATGAACGTTTCGCGAGCAAGTCGGGCAGAGAGAGAGAGAGAGAGAGAGAGAGA